TGTCTGTCTTCCTCCAGGGCTGGGAGCTCCCTGCAGGGTTGGAAAGTGTGTAGTACCTCCCCTTTTGTGCTCTTTTCCTGCTGCTCCAGCCACATGAGACTTGACATCTTGATCACCTGGTACCCTAATACTCAGCCATGGTCTGCCAATCAACTGTTCATAAAATGGTAAGTGAATAAACAAATTAGTGAAAGTTACTTAGAACATTTAAAAATAGAGTTTTCAACTGATTCTGTAAGTTACAGAAAGTATAAACTATTTACTAATATGTAATTAACTACCTAGGATTTAAATAAAAGCCAGTAAACAGCAATTAGACAAATCAATGAGTATTCTCCCAAACCAAACGCCATCTATTTGTTAGAAGTGAATATTCAGGTGATTTTAAAGACTTTAAAAGATTATAATCTCAAATTTACATAGGTATCACACAAATCACTTTAAAAAAAAACTTACATTCTTAAAAATAATTCTACACTCTTAAAAAAAAAATCAGATACCAGCTCACCCAAATAGTGGCTCACATTTAGCAGGGTCTTTTGTGTGCTAAGCACAATGCCAAAGGCTTTATGTAAGTGTCCTCCAATTCTCACAATGATGCTGAAAATGTAAGAAATGTGGAGAATTTAAACACCGTGCTCAGAGCCATGCAAGGGAACAGTAGTCAACATACTGCCTGTTTTACTTTACAAAATATCTCCATAATATAGCTGCCATTCCTAAGTTCAGAATCATAACCTTAAATTACTCGGAAAACCATTTTAGGTAAATGTCCTATCAGCTGGAACAGTCAAACAAAATTTAAAGAGAGACATTTCAAATGATCTTCGTAACTTCCCACCTCAAGGGTTAAGAGTGGCAGGTACTATCAACAAATTTCTTAAAGAAAGTGTAGTCTAATAAAATGTCCCCTAGCCAAAGGATGGGGGGTGTAGTTTTTAAAAACGAAAAACTATAGAATCACTCTTTCACTAATAATAATAATAATAATAACAACAGTGGCAGACTTTGGGAATGGCATTCATTTCCAGGAACTGAGCCCAGATCAACTCTTAGAGATGATGTCATCTTTTAGCTCCTCCACGCACTGCCAAAAGATTAAGGAATCTGGGGCACCCAACAGAAAAATCCAAAGCTGTACATGATCAGCAGATAAAGTCTCATCTGAGGACTGTTTCAAACCCAGAAAATGGGGAGGAGATGAGCTGATACAAGGAGGCCCCCTTGAGCCTCTGTCCATTCAAAAAGGTTCATTCTAGCATTCAGTGTCCCAGAAAAAATTTTTTTCTGTGAAGGGTCAAACACTACCCAACTCTGCCGATGGGGCTTGGAAGCAGCCATAGACGATACAAAAACCAACAGCCAAGTTCCAATAAAACTTTATTTTATTTTTTGAGACCGATTCTTGCTCTGTCGCCCAGGCTGGAATGCAGTGGCGAGATCTTGGCTCACTGCAACGTCAACCTCCTGGGTTCAAGCGATTCTCCTGCCTCTGCTTCCTGAGTAGCTGAGACAACAGGCGTGTGCCATCACGCCTGGCTAATTTTTGTATTTTCAATAGAGAAGGGGTTTCCCCATGTTGGCGAAGCTGGTCTCGAACTCCTGGCCTCAAGTGGTCCACCCGCTCTGCCTCCCAAAGTGCTGGGATTACAGGCGTGAGCCACCACGACCAGCCTCCAATAAAACTTTATTTGCAAAAGGAGGTTGCAGTTCATCAAGCCCTGCACTGAAAGAGCAGGTTCCCCACCTGAAGGTTCAGGGACACAGCACTGAAACGGAACCACAACACACACCTTGCGGCGTCCTGGGGCTGGACGACGTGTATGTGCACTAACATTGTTGCTCATATCTCCACCAAAAGCCGAGGCTCTGAAGGGCAGGATGGCAAGGTGAGTTTCTAAGACTGCTGATTTCTAAGCATGATTGTTTCTAATACAGAAATCAGGAAACTACGAAAATAAAAATATTGCTTTTGGAAATTCAACAGTAAATTTAATCACCTCTATAAAATTCACACGCAAGTGTTTCATTTCTAATGCTCAGTTCAACTTTGTGTACAGACGTTTGTAGCCAAGCGCATTTTACTTCCTATTTTGCATTTTTCTGAAAGATAATAAATGTTGCTTTTATTTACCATAACTTTTGTCATAGGTGCATAATCCCTTCTTCAAAAGCCTGGAGGCTAGACATGGTTAAGAATTCAGAGTTTCTGGGAAGGGAGAACAATAACACAGTGTCCACGTCAATGAACACAGATGTGCAAGGCCTAGAGGGAGCCCCATAAACCCCATCCCACTTCCGGGGCAGACCCCGTGGTCGGCAAAGCTCTGGACAGACCACACTGGACTCTGCCGCAGCATAAGAAGAAACTTCTTGCGTCAGACTTTTTGATTTTAAAGTTGCAGACAATGAGCTACAGGACCCTACTAACAGAGCCCCCCCAAAGACCAAGGCAGCCGGCCCTCTCTCTCCCATTGTCCCATTTTATTTGCTTCAGAATTAGTATCATTATTCACAACTATCTCACTTGCCAGTTGTTCCATGTCTGTCTCCTCCACTGGGATGCAGGAGCCCCAAAGATCTGTCTGCTGAGCTCAAAGCTGGCTCCCTAGCCCAAAACATGTGCCTGGCACCTGGCTGGTGCTCTACCCAGATCCAAAGAATTAAAGATCACAGCCCTTGACTCAGCTTCTAAAGGATGACCAGGCGCTGGGTAATTTAGACATATTTCCTCTAATCCCCACCACAACCCGGATACCATTAACCCTTTTCTACCAAAACTTCTGTATGGAAACTGCGGTAGGGAAAGTTGCAGGATTTCTCCAAGGTCAGAGAATTATGATGTGTCACGTTCTAAAGGAAAAACTTAAGTCTTAAAAGTGAAGTGGGTCATCCCCAACCTTGCCAGAACCCCTCGCCAACTGCTGCCCTCCAACAGCAGGATGATTAAATGCATACAATAATTTTGGTGCTTAATATGCATATTTTAAAAAATCACATCAGTGACTCACGGACTGAACCACCTATCTAACCCAAGCCACTGCTGCAAGTGAACAGCTAGAATTAGAAAATTATTTGTATGCTGAAGGTTTTAAGAATAAATTTTTCTCTATAAAACTCTGGAGATTTATCTAATTATTATTATACAATCGCAGATTGCTCAAGACTGGAACCCATTGTAAATCACCCCGCATTCTGAGAAATTCTGGAACTGTCATCTTATTTTCCAGGAACAAGGGACATATGCTGCCAAGTCTTGCTGTTAGATTTTTTAAAGAGTAAGACAGTGCTTTCAAATGGCCCTGAGAGGCACTGAGTATTTCCCCAAAACATGACAGCACATGGCAGGGGATGTCCACCCTTCCTTCCTGGCTTCCTGGCTCCAGGAAAGCAGCCTGGGGCATCGGTGACTACAAACACCTAACAAGGCCATCAAGGGAGGAACTGACTCAGCTTGCACATCTGCCACTTCTGTAGGTACCAGCAGGAAACTGGAAATGCCAGGAAGGGAGGGGAAGCTGACAGAACTTCTGTGCCATTATCTGGCCCCAAAAGCGTATTCTATACCCAGCCGAGGACAGCACTACTAAAGTGACCTCAGAGAGCCTTTCCCTTGGGGATATTGTTCTTTGAGCTCACTGATTGCACTCTCTTGGGACTGAGTAGGAAGCAGCAGGCAGGGGTGAGGGGTGCAGTCGGGCCTGGACAACTAGCTGACGCTAACTGGCCACACGAGAACTGGACTCGTGACCCGTGGGTGCAGCACAGAGCTATAATCAATGGGGGGAGGCAACCACAGCCTCTTAAAGAACAAGAAAACAATTATGCAGAGGCAGAGGCAGATGCCTTTTGCAAAGCTCACAAACTACACAGACCCAGGGGTCACCACTAAACTTCACAGTTCGCCAAGGTTTTAATCCTCTTTTCTGGCTTGTAACCAATTTTGGCTTTGTGTCACATTCGATGATTAGAATGAATGGTATTCCTAATCTTCGGCCTTTCTTCGAAGGTTTGTTTCACTTAGATACCAAAAAAAAAAAAAAAAAAAATGTTCAAAGGCATCTTTTTGCAGCCATAATGCTGTAGGCAATTTCTCATCACAGTAGCTAAAAAGAGACTTCACAGACTAAGAGAGAAAATAACAAGTTCAAAGAAGTGCAAAAACCTGACCAAAGCCAGAGCATATGAAAGGACTTCCAAACCTAGGACTGCTCCAGCCGAAAAGTCACAGGTCTGGGAGAGATGGTGTAAGTACTTCCAATGACAAAAGCACGAGTAAGGATGAATCAGGACTCGCGAATTAAATCTAAAGAACCAAAGACCATCCCCTAAAAATGAATCCATCTACACCGCCAAGTGCAATTCAAATAAAATCTGTTTCAGAAGATGAAGGGAAGTTGGAGATGAAACTGTTCTGGCAGCCCATGAAGAAAAGCCAGAGAAAGTGAAGGAACAGAAATGAACTTGTTCTCCCACAAAATTCCACCTGGGGCTCTCAGGAAAGGAAAGAGCCAATCTGTGGAGAGGACTCCCTCTAGAACACCTGTTAAGACACCAAGCCCTTTCTCCTTCCCACTCCCTCATGCCATGAGCACATGACTCCAGGTGAGTGTCCTGACATCCACCATCACTGCAGAACCTGTCATCAGGAGTGTCTGGCCCAACCCAGGAGGTGAAAAACACAGTGCCTGCTTCATTCCAAACATGGAAGCCTGGATCTCAGTGGGCAACTCTGTACTACAACCAAACTCTTTTAGAAAAGGACGCAGAGTCAAACAGGAATATGACCGCGCTATCTTACAAGGCAAAGCAAGACACAGAAGACTGAGGCAGAAAGGGCAGTGGGTCTCTGCATCATGGGACTTGTCACCAGCCCCTGTTCCAGCGTGTCCTGGTGACCTGAGAGTGACAGAAACGATCCATGGCTGCTGCCAACATGTGTGCCCTGGCCCTCGACCAGCACCATCGGGCCAGGATCAGATATACGTGCTCGCCCATACCTGGTAGTACGGATGGTGCAAAAAGGAATCTGGGCAGCCAGCTAAAGCCATGGGTTCCTTCTGCCTTCTTCAAATTACATTTACTGCGCAGCAGCACCTGGAATAAAGACAGACTGTGAGAAGCCAAGCCAGAAAAAAAAAAAATCCACTACTTATGGCTGGTTCAAGTGTGACGTGTCTGAATGGGCAGCTCTTGGCCTTAGCTTGTAGGTTCAGTAAGGACACTTGCTCGGGGCGCCAGTTTTTTGCTGACATGCAGAGATGGTCCCCAACTATGGGGCCTTGAGAGATCATCTGTGAGGTCAAAAGTCTGTGGGGTAGAAGGGTGCCCAGAGTGGTGAGGGTGACATCAGATCCTCTAAATTTAACTCACACATTCCCAGCACTCCTCTGCACTGCCTCACCCTTCTTCCCTATAGCATCTATTAACATCCTGCAAACTGCATCATGCTTTCACAAATAGGGATTCAGACAAATTCCAAAGAAGCCCGGAAGGGGTTATGTGTGTGTTCGGGGCCAGGACCACGGAACATTTGCGTGAACACTAGCTCCACCAGCCATAGAACAAGTCGGAATTCTCAGTGGACATTCAACCCAACAAACTCATTACACACTCTCCCCTGCAGGCCACGGCACCTAGTACCGAATAAAATGAGGGATATTAATTCTAACAATCAGAATAACAACAACAAAAATCAAGACAAGACCCTGTTATGGGATGCACTGTATCCTCCCAAAGTTCCTAAGCTGTAGCCCTAACCCCTAGTACCTCAGAATGTGACTGCATTTGGAAACAGGGTCTTTAAACAGGTCATTAAGTTAAAATAAGATGATCAGGGTGGGCTCTAATCCAATACAAGCAGTGTTTTTATAAGAAGAGAATATTAGAACACAGACTTGTACAGAGAGAAGACCATGTCAGGACACCTTGAGAAAAAGAACATCTGCAAGCCAAGGAGACAGGCCTCAGGAGAAACCAAATCGGCCGATACCTTGATCATGGACTTCCAGTATCCAGGACTGAGGGAAAATGATTTCTGCTGTTTAAGTCCCTTTGCCCCCTCCTCAGTCTGTGGCACTTTGTTACGACAGTCTTACTAAACTAACACAAACCCAAAATATAAAATCACTACGAAATTCTCATCACAGCGAAAAGGAACAGAAGCATCCCAGATCTGTGAAATTTACTACCAACCATGTTTTCTGCAAGAGTTTCTCTAGAATCCCCCAAATCACCAAAGAATGGTCCCAGAACACTTTGCTGGGGCTGAAAGGAACCGGTCGAGAGCAGTGGAAGTACTGGCACGATGAAGGCAACACGTCCACGACCTGGCTCAGATGTCCCCAACCTACTGAGTGAGAACTGTGGCCAGGATCCACCCTTTGCCTCTGCCACAACCAGCAGCCCCAAGGCCTCAGCCTTTCCCAGTTCGCAGTCCTCGGGGTAGCTGGTGTTACACGTCAATAGCCCAGGCTCTAATTTCCAGTCACTTAGCCAAACACTAGTCTGGCTGTTGCCATGAAGGTATTCTGTAGGAGTGGTTAATGTCTACAATCACTCGGCTTAGAGGAAATGACCCTTAACAGAGACATTACCCAATCCACAGAAGGCCTTGGGAGCAAACACTGAGATTTCCTAGAGAAACAAGAATTTAGCTTAAAGACTGCAGCAAACTCCTGTGTGAATTTCCAGTCCGCCTGCTCTGCAGATTTCAGACTTGCAAGTTCCTTAAAATAAATCGTTTTATTTATTGAATACATATGAATATAAATATTTATATATTTAAATATATATATATTTATTTTCATACACATATAGGTGTGGGTTCACTGTACAGGCCATCACCCCTAGCCCTCCATGTGGACCAGTGCCCCAAATCATTTGCTGCCAGATCGCAGGACCACGCCTGGGTGTCTCACGCGGGCAGCCAGGCGGCCTCTGCCTCCCACACCAGCAAACACAGTCTTGTGCATCTCCTCACTCTGTACCTCACCCCACCACCTCCCATGTCCTAGCCCCATCTCTGAAAACTCCTTCTGCCTTCTCCCCTACCTGCAGGGACCTGTTTCTCTCCCCTTCGCCCACATCTCTGAGGGCCTGGGAGAGGAAGGAGTGTCCTCTTGGCCACTTTGCCCGCTGGGTGACGGTTCTGCCGCATCCCACCAGGCTGCCCACGCGCCACACGCCTCCCTGCTGTGGTCATCTCCCAGTCTCCCAGCTCACCCGTGCAGACCCACTGGCCCTGACTATTACACCTTCTGAAATTCCTGGATGTGTTCAACATATTGAAATATGTTCTTATTTTCTCCCTGAAGTTTCAAACTTAATGTGTGTTAAGACTGTCAAAAATATCACTTAATATGCCAGTTTTATTACCTAAATATCACCTTTGTAAGTATTTGCCAAAGGAGATTGCTTCTCAGCCAGGAAAATGTGTGTCCCATAAGCCCAGTGGAACAGTTTCCTCGGGACAAGGAAACTATAGTTAGATACAGTAAGAGGGCTGGACTATCTCTGGTCTCTAATAAAATGTAACCAATCCACAGCTAACATTATGCTTAATGATGAAAGATGAAAAACTTATCCGCTGAGATCAGGAATAAGACAAGGACGCCAACTTTCACCGCTTCTATTTAACATAGTATTAGAAGTCCTAGCCAGAGCACTGAGACAAGAAAAAGAAATAAAAGCCATCCAAACTGAAAAGGAGGAACTAAAATCATCAAGTTCAGAGATGATATATGACATCTTATATGTAAAAACCATAAATATTCCATAATAAAAAACTATCAGAGCTAGTAAATAAGTTCAACAAAAAGGTACAGGATACAAAGTGAACAGGAAAACCATTTGTGTTTATAAATTAGGAACAATCCAATAGATACTTAAGAAAACAATTCCATTTACAATAGCATCAAAAATAACAAAATACTTAGAAATACATGTAATCAAAGAGGTGAACTACTTGTACACTGAAAACTAAAACATTGCTAAAAGAATAAAGACATAAATAAACGGTAAGACATGCTGTGTTGGAGGAACTAATATTGTTAAGATGAAATACTACCTAAAGCAATCTACAGATTCAATGCAATCCCTATCAATATCCTACTGGCATTTTTTTTGCAGAAACAGAGCTGAGGGTTTGTGAAGGGCTGATCCTGTAAAGTTCTGCAAGCAAGCTGACTAAGACTTAAAGGGGATGATTCAGGTTTTTCTGTCGGTTGAACATTAAAATGAAAGCACACAGATGCAGGGCCAGAATGTGGGCCCATATGTCTGAATAACAGGGTTTCCTTAAAAAAATTGATCTGCTATTCAATGAAAAATTGTAAAGAGCTCTAAAAAGTTTATGAAACTCCTACCTTGTGGTCAAACTAATAAAAACTAATAAAAACTAATTAAAACTAGATAAATTTATAAAATGCTATTAAAAAGTAGCTTTAGCATTAAAGATGCACTAATACAAACATGAAATTTGGTTTTCTCTTTTGAAAAAGATTTTATATAATATTGTGACAATGAAAGATTTTTTGTTTGCCTTTTGAGTAAACTACACGGGGAAAAAAAAAACTGGAAGAGAAAGAACAAAAAACAAAAGAAAAAGCCATCCTAAAATTCATATGGCTTCTCAAGGGACCTGAACAGCCAAAACAATCTTGAAAAAGAACAACACAGAGAACTCACATTTCCTGATTTCAAAACTTACTAACGGCTGGGCATGGTCGCTCACGCCTGTAAACCTAGCACTTGGGAGACCGAAGCAGGCGGATCACTTGAGGTCAAGAGTTCAAAATCAGCCTGGTCAACATGGTGAAACCTCATCTCTACTAAAACTACAAAAATAAGCCAGGTGTGGTGGTACGTGCCTGTAATCCCAGCTACTTGGGAGCCTGAGGCAGGAGAATTTCTTGAACCTGGGAGGTGGAGGTTGCAGCGGGCCAGAGATTGCGCCACTGTACTCCAGCCTGGGCAACAGAGCCAAACGTCATCTCACAAAACAAAACAAAACAAAACAAAACAAAACAAAACAAAACAAACAATAACAAAAGAACTTACTACCAGGCTACAGTGATCAAAACAGTCTGGTAATAACATAAGAACTAACATACACCAAAGGAATAAAACAGAGAGCCCAGAAATAAATCCTCACATATATGATCCACTGATTTTTAATAAGGATGCCAAGACCATTCGCTGAGGAAAAGACAGTCTTTTCAACAAATGAATGGTTCTGGAGGCTGAGTGTGGTGCCTCACGCCTGTAATCCCCACACTTTGGGAGGCAGAGACAGGTGGATTGCTTGAGCCCAGGAGTTTGAGAACAGCCTGAACAACATGGTGAAACACCGCCTCTAAAAAAATTAGCCAGGCATGGTCATGTGCACTGTAGTCCCAGCTAATTGGGAGGCTGAGGCAGGAGGATCAATTAAGCCCAGGGATTGAAGATGCAGTGAGCTGTGATAACGCCACTACACTCCAGCCAGGGCAACAGTGAGACTGTTTCAAAAAACTAAAAATAAAATAACACATTTTTTTTCAACGGTCCTAGGAAAACTGGACATCAGCATGCAACAAAATGAAGCTGGACTCTACACATACACCATAAGCAAAAAGTAACTCAAAATGTATGAAAGACCTAAACGTAAGAGCTAAAACTATAAAACTCTTAGAAGTAAAGACAGGGAAAAATCTTGAAGACATTAAATATGACAATGATTTCTCAGATACGACACCAAAGGTGCAGGCAAAAGAAAAAATAAACTGGGCTTCACCAAAATTCAAAATGTTTGTGCATCAAAGGACGCTATCAAAAGATTGTAAAGATGACACATAGAATAGGAAAAAATACTTATGAAGCATTTATCTGATAAGGGATTAAAACCCAGAATATATAAATGATACGGTTTGGCTCTGTCCCCACCCAAATCTCATGTTGAACTGTAATCTCCAGCGTTGGAGAGGGGGCCTGATGGGAGATGACTGGATCACGGGGGCGGTTTTTAATGGCGTAACGCCATCCCCCTAGTGCTATCTCATGATAAAGTTCTCATGGGATCTGACTGTTTAAAAAAGTGTGTAGTACCTCTCTCTTCA